CAAATAGGTATTTTCCACTTTCAAAGCCATTGAGGTTCAATTTCAACAATCGTCCCTTGATAATTTTAAAATATTTTGGGGGTTTATGGTGTTTTTTTCAACATGGAATAAATTGTTTAAGAAATCCTCCCCAAGTTAATTCTATACATACTCGTACAAGTCAATTTTGTGTTTTGATACTTTTGATGTATAATTTAAAGTATATCTAACCATTAGTGTCAGAGTATGCCTATTTAAAAGTCATAATAGGTACTAATACATACATCTTTACATTATACGAGTACCTTACAAATATTTTTGTACATTATTTAAAAATCCAGGTCTATAAAGTGTGAAGTCGCATAATTTTATAAGAACGTTGGAAGAGTGTGTAAAAAGGGTATAACCCACCACTTAAATAGTGGTGGGTATAGGTCACTTCTCGACTATTAGACTGCCTAGTACACAGACAGTACTGAATGAAATTAAAATATTTATTTTAGTGATCCAAAGAATGACGATTTGTTCAAAAGTTAAAAATTAAAAAATTATGAGCCTTTTATGATTTATTTAATGAAAATACTAATTAGTAATCCATTTCAATTATAATTATTTTACAAAAAAAAACTTAACGCTGTACTTAGTTTTAAACAGTTTTTCATTAAGTTTTTAATGAGGATATAGGTAAATCTTTTGAATAGGCAAGTCCCATTTTTTCAATGAACTTACCATTGATTAACATTTTTATTTTCTTTTCAGATAGTAACAAAATGCACACACGAATGTACATTTTCCTACTACTCCTACTACTTCTATCTACGGACATCGCACTCGGTAGCGTCAACAAAACTAAAACGACGAAGATCTCGCACAAGCACAACTCTGCTAAATATCACCTAAAAGCCCACAGCGACCGCTCGAAGCGATCCATCGACGACGACGACGAAAATCCTTTTTGGCCCAATAGGGGAAAAAAAGAATTAAACGCACTCATAAATTCAGAGAAAGAGTCGCCATTTTGGGCAACCAGAGGAAGAAGGGAAAGTTCATCCGTCGAAAACTATATAGATGCTCAAAAACCTTATAAATCGTATCTATCCAAAAATGATAGGTATTGTGAGAATTGTTTCCCTTCTAGTAATTCGGATGAAGTATACGGAAATGTTAAGCACACTCGAGATGATGTAACGTCACCGTTTTGGGGCAATCGCGGACGACGCAGTTCCGAGGAGTTAATTGATAATTTTTTACCCGAAAGTCTTTTTTGGGGAAGCAGAAGCGCGCGGCAGGAAAATGAACCTTTTTGGGGAAACAGGGGTAGAAGACAAGACGATCCTCCATTCTGGGGCCATAGAGGAAGGCGTGAAGATGAACCGTTTTGGGGAAACAGAGGGAGGCGTGAGGAAACACCATTTTGGGGCCATCGTGGAAGACGCGATGATGTAGATGATCCTTTTTGGGGTAATCGAGGCAGAAGAGACGATTTCGAACCTTTTTGGGGTAATCGAGGCAGACGAAAAGACTCGGAGCCCTTTTGGAGTAGTCGAGGCAGACGTAAGGAAGATTTAAAAGATTCAATTCTACACGCGATTAATAACGTAGAGAATGATATAGAAAATTTATCGAGACTAAAGAAAAGTGACAGCGAGCACAATTCATTTTGGGGTACCAGACCGAGGGATAGTAAGTTGAAACATTTATTTGACGGACCCAGGAACAGACCCCACGCCTTGACGACTGAGCCCCGCACAGTTCACGATAATAGGATCTATGCCGAGGAACCACATTACATTATTGTAGAAAGAAACAGTCGTTCATCGGCTGAAGATGACCCTTTTTACATTTCAAGGGGCAAAAAGTATTATATCAATTTGCCGAAAGCAGCGAGGGATCGACGCGGGGCTATTGAAGAAATAGTGAAATCCGTTAGGAACGACCCTTTCTACATAGCCAGAGGTAAAAAAGATGACATTGTCAAAGTTGCTAATACTACAATGTCTCACGAAGAATTCGTTAAAGCTAAGGAACTAATTTGCGCTACGGTTGAACTTATTATGATGAAAAACGAAAACAATAAGACGAAAAGGGACATCACTGATAGCGAAAGAGACAGGCGAACGATATTGAAGAAATTGGCGGCTCAACTGCAAATGGACCCGTACTTTGTAAGCAGAGGCAAGAAGTGCGGCGACTCCAACAACGATGATAACTTAGTAGAGTTCATTAACGAAGTGGCTGGGAAATGTAACTAAAGTATTTTCAAAGGTGTAACAGAACAATGGCCTACTTGGAAGATGTATATTTATGTACTTAACGTATTCATTATTATTAAGATTCGTTGTGTAATTTAATAAAATTGGTTGCGTGCTAAGGAGGGACTTACCAGTATTTTATTTCCCTAAAACATTAAAAAAGCAACTTATGCCCGTTTTCACCATCAATCCCTAATTTTTAAGTGACCTTTATGAAGATAAAATGCCTGTTAAGTGTTACCGTAGGGGTCACTTATACACATTAGGGGTTTAATGTTGAAAACGGGCACTAGGTCAGTAATTTATTTTTTTAATAATAATTATGGTATTGTAAGATTTTTAGGCAAGTATTACTATCCAACATAATATAAAAATTCTATTCTCAGTTGAAAACTCGATTTATAGTTGTAAGTGACAATAAGGATTTAATTACTGAAGGGCAACTAGAACATTACGTAATTTAAATAAATAGAAATACTTTTATTTTTCACCAAATACAAATACAATTTGTTAATTGCAAATTATATAGCCACGATAGCCGAACGGTGAAGGGGTCGGCGTGGCCGACTCGAGATCCGAAGAACGCGGGTTTGAATCCCACCGCCGCTCGACTATTGTGGTGAGCCCACTCGTAACAAGCTTTTATTAAGCTTAACACGAGGGGCTAACGGGACTATTAGTCCAGTCAAATTAGACATGAACCCTGCAATAATTCGCATACAGCTGAAAATTGGTACGAATGTTCGGAGCACCATTATGAATTAACTGTGAAAAGTCCCCATCGATCCGACGTGTGCTAAAAAAAAAATTCAAGGTCTAATTTGACTGGACTATATTAGTAACTAGCTGACCCGGCGAACTTTGTTCCGCCTTAATGGCAATAAATAAGCAGACTTTTTTTAAATTTCGAACGGGATAAAAAGTATCCTATGTCCTTCTCCTGGCTCTAAACTACCTCCCTGACAATTTTCAGCTAAATCGGTTCAGCCGTTCTTGAGTTATAAGCGAAGTAACTAACACGACTTTCTTTTATATATATAGATTTGGGCAATACAAATTGCTAATAATCTTTAAAAAAAATATTACAACATTTGTTGGCGCTGTTGCTATCATACGTACCGATCGGCTTTTTTTACCCGACTGCGCAACGCAAAGGAGTGGTAATGTGTTTATTTCAATCCTTAATGGCTGTATTGTGTACTGCCCATGTGCTGCAATGGTAATTTAGATGGTAATAATCAATTACCTGATGTAATTTTCGTTTTATGTAGTCTGTAAAATGTTAACAGGGAAGTTTATGAAATAAAACAAAGCCAATTTAGTGCGACCTCTTTTTAATACTCTGCAGTTATAAATATAGGATACATCGTCCAAACACACTATTTAAAATTTGTTGCTCACAATGACGGGCAGGTAACAGTGGATATATTTGAGCAATCACAAATTTTGTTCTAACCGCTATTCCATCTGGAAACGAAAATGACTTCCATGCTACATCAAGGTACACTGATCCATTAAACTGATGATTTTGTACCAGCTACTCGATTACACAACTCTTAATTTGATCGAAACGATAAAAGTCTATGTAGGGTTTAATTTTAAATATACAGCAAATACATAATCTGTTAAAACTTGCAAAAATATTTTCAGAGTCGAAAATCGATCAAGCTAACTTAGACAATATTTTGGTATTTGAAATATCTTAAAATGTTTTAATGTAGTAAAATATAATATTTACTTTAAGTATCAGTAAGAATCATCAGTACTGAAATACATAATATCACAACTACTCAAACAACAATATCTTGTGTTGATATGGATACAAATATGGTAAACGATTCGAAAACCTCCACAATACAATAATAACGTGTAAAGGTACGTAACAGGCCATAATCCAGATCGTCCAAATCTGCAAATATTTATAATTCAATAATACTGTGTGACCTTTCATAAATGGACCCATTTATGCAAACAAGAACCAACCCACAGCAGGGTGATTTCGAGAAAACGAGACTTTTGTAAACAGATGTTGCAAAATGCGTACATAATATATTAATGAATGATTACTTGTTAATCTTATGTGGGATACTGCAGCCTATCTAGGAATATCAGATTTATAAATTTTATAAGTTATAATATAAAGTAAATCGTAAAAAACCGGTTGGTTCTTTCTTGCAAAAACATTTTTTGTTGCTTAGTTCCTTCTTGCAAAATGGATGTAAGATTTCATTGTTGTGATATATCCAAAATTAAAAGTCATTCTATATAAAATACAGATTTTAATGCCTTTTATTAGATAGTGAATTGGAATCACGAACCCTTCAAACTAAAATCACCATTATTATCGTCTTCTACCTCAAAATCGATAGGCCCGGTAATACTGTCGATATGGTCTTCTATGTTGCTGCTTTTCAGGGTTTTGTAGAAATTGTGTGTGTCGTTTTGGTATTAGATGCAGAATACTTTTAATATTCTGTTAGTTTAGCCTCAGATATAGCTTTTCCTGTAAGCTAAAGTAAGTCCATGTCATTTTTATTATTAAGACATTTTTTATGATAAAGGTACAAACGCAACGATAAGAACGGATTTTTTATTTTTAAATAGCTTAATTTTAACACTATCAAGAACTATGCTACATGGTTCCTTCAAGACTAACCTGATTTCCACTAAGCAAACAATCTTTGGTTCTGTTTAGTTATAAAAATTTTGTAACAATTTTTGCTAAATGGAACCAACCAACATTGGTTCTAGTTTGCATAATTAGTTTAAATAAGTGCTTAGGGACCATGCTGTATAGTTCTTTATAGTTTTTAAAAGTTGGCCAAAGCGGGTTGGTTCCGCAAGTGACAGTGCTGTATCTCTGTTGTTAGTCGTTAAAAATGTACCATAATTTTTTTGAAGATAGAATGCGTTATTTGAGCGCCATCTATGTACTTAACTCAATTTCACTCAAAGTGTGGGTTGGTTCCTGTTTGCATAAATGGGTCCAAATAAATCTCAAAAATTTTGATAAAAATTTACTCTTATGCATTAAAATGATATTGACATTTCATGTCCTAACTAATAGTTAAATAATCTCAAAATATTACATTTCAATCACGCTCACAAGCGTAAAACACGTTATTTTTGAACGTTTACTTTATATATTTTATATTAGCATATATCAACGTTTAACTTTATTGAAAGCTGGAATAATACTAACATTCAGGTCCAACGAAAACGTTTGAAAATAAAACTTTAGGCTCTCGTCTGTCCTCTGCGCACATTCACATCACTTACACGTACAACGTCAATTCCATTCATGTGAATCTCCAGAAGGTCTTCCTCTTGGAAGGTCTGTGACTAGTTCGAACCGGGTCGGCGTCACATTCGTTTCAGACGCGCCAGAGGAGCAGGTGGTTGGTGGAGTCCTCGCGTCCGGCGTCCTCGGTCATGGTGGAGCTTCTGAAGTCTTCGTAGCCGTCGCCGCCCGAGATGATGAGGGTCTCCTTGTTGGTCTGCGCGGTGTCGTGCTGCTTCTGCAGCTTCTCGGCGTTGGCGGAGCGCCGGCTGAGGGCCTTGGTCTTGAGGGAGGTCTGCGTGGTTTTGGCCGGCTGCCGGTGCGGCGCGGGATTCTCGACAATGGTCAGGAACCTCACGTGACCAGTGTGTCCGTAAGGTATACCTGTTGAATAGGAGACGAAGGTGAACACAGTTTTCTTTCAATGCGGAAACGGAGGGGGTGCTGACCTGTGAGCGGCAGTACGGTGAAGGCGTCTGTAGGAGTGGACTATGGGCGAAGGTGACACCTGTAAGAGGCGGTACGATGCAGGCGCCGGGAAGAGGGGACGATGGGAGTGGGGGTGGTGACATGACGTGAGCGGCAGCATGGTGAAGGCGTCGGGTGTAGGGGACTGTAAGAGGGAGTGGGTGACCTGTGAGTGGCGGCACGGTGAAGCCACCGAGGGAGGGGGGTGGTGACCTGTGAGCACAGCACAGTAAAGGCACCAGGGAGGGGGTGGTGACCTGTAAGCGGCGGCACAGTAAAGGCACCAGGGAGGGGGTGGTGACCTGTAAGCGGCGGCACAGTGAAGGCGCCGGTGAGAGTAGACGATGGGAAGGGGGTGGTGACCAGTGAGCACAGGCACAGTAAAGGCACCAGTGAGAGGGTAGTGACCTGTGAGCGGCGGCACGGTGAAGGCACCAAGGGGAGAGTAGACGATGGGAAGAGGGTGGTGACCTGTGAGCAGAGGCACAGTAAAGGCACCAGGGAGAGGGTGGTAACCTGTGAGCGGCGGCACGGTGAAGGCGCCGGTGCGCGCGTCGGGCGCGTGCTGCAGCGGCGCGGTGAGCAGCACGCCGGCGCTGGTGCCCACCCACAGCGTGTCGCGGTACGCGGCCAGCGCCGTCACGCGCAGGCACGCCGCCTTGTGCTGCCGGATGATGTCATCGCAGCCTGACCACACAAACAACGACATTATTAGTCAACGCTCAACTCTAGAGCATACAAATAAAGTGTAACATTATTCTCAAAAACATAGAAGAATGATGTTTGAGTTGATTCAACGCTACTGTCTCTCAATCTCAATCAATTAACTCGCTCAAAACATCTCAAAACCTCAAGATGAGCAAACCCCAACGATGAGGGCACACCATAGAGTGGAGTCCCGCAGAATATGATCCAATTCCAGGATTAATATCAAACATGCTAAAGTGGTAATAATCAGCAATGCAAGATTTTCTTTTGGAGAACAGTATCATCATTTTCACGTATCCCATAGACAGCCCCCATTAGGTGAACCAAGGATCTGATGAGGGTCGCGGGAGGTTTCTGGATACGGGCGGCGCAGAATCGGTCAATGTGAAAATCCTTGGGTGAGGCCTTCGTCCAGCAGTGGACGTCATTTGGCTGAAACGTACGATACCATGTCTCACAACGGGGCGGCAGTCGTCACTCATCATCATCATCATCATTTCAGCCACAGGACGTCCACTGCTGAACATAGGCCTCCCCCAATGACTTCCTCATCGCACGGTTGGTAGCGGCCTGCATCCAGCACCTTCCCGCTACCTTTATCAGGTCGTCGGTCCACCTTGCTGTCGTCACTCACCGTGCAGCATCTTGGTGACCTGCGGCGTGATGTTGATCTCGGCCAGCTGCTCGCGCGAGGCGGCGCGGTAGCAGCGCAGTTGCGCCGCGTTGTGCAGCGACAGCCAGATGGCGCCGCCGCTCACCGCCATGTGGCTGATCGGCTTCGACTCAGTACTTATTTGGAATGTTTCTTCAATCTGTATGCACATACATTATAACAATCAATTTGCATTGCCTACATTTGAAGATCTCGAATATGTTGAAGATGTAAAACAGAAAGTTTTGAATGCCTGGCTATCGCAATTAAAATATGGTATAAAGGAAAGCACATGGTGTCGTGCCCTGCATGCACAAACAACTGCACGCAGGAAGATTTAATGAAGGCTACTAACAACGCTACTATTGTGGCGGAGTTTTGGGCTGACACTGTGTAGGTTTGTTGTCGACACGACAAGAAGAAGAAGGAAAAATGAATGCATCCGAATGGGAATGTGACTTTCTAATTCAGATGACCCAAAAAGATTACACTGGATGATTTACTACTTGCTTAACATTGATCCCTCCCTTTTATATCAAGAAGTAAACTTCGATACATCATCTTGGTTCCTAAAGTATAAGATATAAAAGTAGAAGCAGTAACAGATGAGGAGGTGGTTTACCTGGAAGGTGTGCGGGTTGATGATCTTGATGCAGGCGTGGGTGGCGCACCACAGGCGCGCGCCCCACAGCAGCATGCTGCTGACCGCGCCGCCGCCGCCGCCCACCGCGATGCTGCACTTCTCCGCCCACGACCCGTCTGCAGACACCACAATCAATACTCAGGTCTAAGGCGTGCAACAAATGTTATGACACCTGGGACTTAAAGAGAAAATTTACGCCTGTATTCACAAACGATGCTTGCTTAAGTGAAGCAGTAAATCTAACGCACAGCGTTGAGTAGAGCTCAGTGATTGATTCGTGATTCATCCCGTGCGCCCACGCGCACTGTGAGACCTTATAGTAATCTTTGTGAATACGGGCGTTAGCAATGTGCTTCCGTGAATGTCGTTAGATATGACTAAGAGAAAAATATAAGAACCCCCTAACCCATCTGGTCATGTGAGAGTGTAAGCCAAATCCTCCATTTGCCTCTGGTAGAGTGGCCCCTGGAGACGCTCTTGTTTTAGTATGAGAGCAATAACATCAAGACTGCGCATTTCATAATAATAAGAGAAGAATGAACTGAACATGGAAAGCGATTTCAATCCAGTTCGTTTCGTACCTTTGATCATAATATATCACAGACTTTACTAACCTATATCCCTGCAATAGACTACGAGATCGCCATTGCCAAGAGCAACAAACACCTTTCCTTCGACGTACCTGAAACCAAAAATTAAATATTAATCATCATCATTTGTAATCTTTTATAGATGAGTAAATTAATGGGTTTGGAAAAGCATAGACTCACAACACTTCCTTGAGGAACACCGACATCTATTTCTTAAGTATAGATGTATACTCAACTATTTATGTACTTCCTTATTTATTATAGACAATCTGGCTATATTCTCGTTAAATTCATTAAATTATTTTTGATTAATTGCACCACACCGGGTAGTCAAAGTGTTCGTAATGGTCAAACGCGTCGCGAAAGTTACTCACACAATGGAGTGGACCCCGGAGTTGTGCTGCATCTTGACCTTGTTCTTCTTGACGCGGATGTTGTCGAGGCAGTTGTACACGTGGATGCAGCCGTCCTCGGTACCCAGCCACATGGTGGGCTGGTTGGCGCTGCTGCTGCTGTCTTCGGAGGACTGCCGGCTGGCAGGAGACGAGAGGGTGCCTGGGGAGTGCAATGGATAGATGATGATTTTGTTTTAACGAGAGAAGGTGATGGAAGCGTGTGTTGCGGTGTCAGGCAAATGAGGCTTAGTATTATGAATTAATTCTAAAGTTTTTCCAATCTTTTAATAAGTCTGGTGTATCTAATTCTCTAAATTCTATTTGTGTTTATTTGAAGATAATGTTTCTTCACTGTTTGATAACTTATCAGAGACAAAGTACTTACGTTCTATGTATTTTTTAGTTGTTATTGTTTGACCTAAGTATAGTAGCATCTTCATGCGTATGGACTATAAATACTCAACTATTTATTGATAAATCAACTAAAATGGAATCTGTTTGTTGTTAAGCATTATAATGTGCACGTTAATGTTCATGATGAAAATGTATTCTTAGGTATAGGTATAAAATCTGATTCAGCTTTTTTGTGGGTAAAAAGTGCTATAGTAATTATACTGTATGTAAGCATGCATGTAAAATTGCAAAAGAGAAAAGTTGAGACATGCGAAAGGCTTCATTAAAAAGCACAAGCTTTTTAAAATAGGGGTTTAAAGGTATTACCGAGCATACTGCGTCCATGTACTACGTTGCATAAACATAGGTAATTCAAAATTAGGAAACATAACGAATATAATAAATTTCTCTCAATACATTGTGTTGACTGATCTATTGGAAATGTGTAGGTAGATAAAGTAAGAAATATACATTTTAATAAATCAATAAAACTTGATAGGAATAATTAGTCTAACATAGAGTAATCATCTACTTGAAATAGTAAAGACGTTACGTAGAAGTAATACTTATTCGATGCAAGTCCAAAGTAACATTTAGTAGGTACCTACAGTAATCAACTTAAATATTTCAAAGTGTAACATACTCGGACACGCACCGGTAGTGATGCCCATGGCTTGCTTGTCCACCGCGGGGTTGGAGTTGGACTTGATGACGGGGTGGGGTGGCGCGTGCGCCGTGTGGGGGGTGCTGAGACTCTTGGCGTGCGAGGGGGCCAGCGCCACCGGGGCCCCAGCCGCCCCGCGGGGCCCGCACGACTCCTGGCTCCGCTCAGAGAGAGCGTCTTGGTTTTCGCTGGTAGACGAGCCGTCGTCGTCGTCGTCGCTTGAAGACGAGCTGTGGAAGATATTGAGAAAGGAATATAGCTTCACATTGTGGACTCGAAAAGTTTATACAGTTTAATTTGACAATATATTGTTTAAATTAAGTTTAATTTGACTTCTTTTAATAGAAAGAAGGCATTCTAAAGCTTTACCTGTCGAGTCGAATGTTTTTGCAGCTGTCGTCTGGGTCCGATATACTGATGCCCGGTTTCACGGAACTCGTGCTGTTTAGTGAACTCGTCGTACTTCTGGAAATGCACAAGTTTGAAGCAAGCAAATCATTTTAAGGCGTCTCGAAAAAAAGCTAAGATAGTACAGCTAGAAACTGAAATTGCCTGCCTGCTGTCACTATAATCCGGATATCTTCAAGTCGAGAGCAAATAGGCACTTGATGGGCAGGTATGACCCACCTTTGATTGCATCTCACAGCTGCCACACTGGCGGATTGAAAGCGTTTTCTAAGCGGAGCGGCGACGCAGCGAATACGTCACGGATGCTCAACGTTTCCACCTCGAGTTTTCGCCTCGTGTTCGCTGCGTCGCCGCTCCGCTTTGAAAACGCTTGTAATCCGCTAGTGTGGCAAGGCCTTAAACGTCAGATATGATTGCGGTCCAATAACTACCTTTTGCTGCTTAAAGACAGTAGTGATTAATTTGTTTTTTTTGTTCTTTTTGTCATCGTTTCAAACGCTGATATTTTTGATTCCATTTTATTTGCTGATGATACATCGTAATAACGTACGGTATGTCGACGGTGTGCTGGCGGGCGAGCGCGGGCGCGGGCGGCACGCAGGCGACGCACAGGATGCGCGCGTTGCACACGCCGTTGCACGACGTCACCTGCGGCCGCGGCTGCGACAACGTCAGCACGCACACCTGCCCCACGTAGCCGTCGCTGTTGCACACCTGTGACAGCCACACCATGCTTTCTTATGTCTTTCAATGACGTAACACTGATACACGTTAGCAACAGTCGCTGACAGACAATCTGGTGAATGTCGCGGGAAGAACCTGGATGGGACCAGTAGTTGGGGAAATCCTTGGGGAAATTAACAGTTTTTGGATCGGTGGCTAGAGACAAAACATATTTTCCGGTTTATGTCAAGAGACTGGGACAAACTTTGCTGCCACTGAATGGATTCTTATTGGTGGTTAATCTACACAGGAGATGAAGTGATGAGTGCACGTGCACTTCTCGTTCTGTTCAGAGTTTTTGGTGAACATTAAAATTTAATTAAGGCTTACACCAGAAATGTGTCGTATGGAATCCAATTACAAAAACATACTGATTGACTTCGGGGCCTAGTTCTCGGGGAGTTGATATGAAAATACTTTCCAAAATAGGGCAGAAGAAGTGGTGCATTCGATATTTTGTTCAAATTATGATTTAAATTATCTTAATTCACGCCCCAGTCCTTGCCGTTCTTGTAAGTGAACATTAAGCCTGATTTTTGAAGGCTCAAAACTCAGGTGGTAGTATGAAAGTGTGTGTTACCCAAACGTCGGGCGGCTGTCCCTTGGGCGGGATGGTGGGCGCGGCGCACGTGAACTGCAGCCCGGCGCGCGTCTTGCGGATCGGCACCGGCGACAGGAACTCCGGCGCCGTCCGCTCCGGCCCGTACATCGCTGGAGAATATTACAATTGGATCAGAAAGAGGCACATACTGTCTACAACTCTGCTGCTAGCCGTTGGGGCTGAAAAGTTCTCGAGGGGCGACCACGAGCCGGAAGACGTAGTGTGGCCGTTGGGGGCCTCCCACTAGGTGGCCCGACAATCTTGTGAAGGTCGCGGGAGGTGCCTGGATGCGGGCGGCGCAAGACAAGTCTTTGTGGAAATCCTTGGGGGAGGTTTCTGTCTAACAGTGGATGTCATTCAACTGAAACGAATGAACGAACTTTCCACAACACATTTTGTTAAAATTCTGTTAAGTCGATGTATATTTTCCCAAGTAAAATCACATGTTACTGAAAAAATATATTGTTAAATAAATAAAATAAAATAAAGAAATAAAATATCCGAAACAAAATAGGTATCAACAAAGCAATAAGTTACAGGCATTGGATATACTTACATAATTTTTGTTTGGTTTCGTTTATTAGCTCTTCCCAACTACTCCTTTTGTCTGTCTTTGGGAATATGATGGTCAAATTTTCAGGTCCATTTCTGAAACCACGAAAAAAGTTTAGTTTAATAATTTCAATGGAGATAAACGAAAATTGTAATGATATTTTCAGATGACTGATAAAGCAAACTGTTACGATTTTTACTTTCATCTAGTGGGGCTATCACTATCTTTATTGACATTATAGGAGAGTTACGTGTCGATGCTGTGGCGCTCGCCGAGCTACCGGCGACTCAGCTGGCTGCCAGCAGCAGCTCTCTACAAGCTACTCCATGTCTATCGCTATTGTCTCATGTCCGTCAATACTTACGAGGTATTGACACTGAGCTCCATATAGCAGAGCTGCGTGTCGCTGCTGTGTCGCTCGTCCAGCTGCCGGCTGGCTCCGAGCAGCAGCTCCCTACAAGCTCCCCGCTCACATGTGGGTGATACTCACGAGGTATTGACACTGAGCTCCATATAGCAGAGCTGCGTGTCGCTGCTGTGTCGCTCGCCCAGCTGCCGGCTGGCTCCGAGCAGCAGCTCTCGCACCAGCTCCTCCAGCGCGGCGTGTGGAGTGTGCAGCGCCGCCACCTGCTCCGAGATGCGCGTCAGAGTGTTCACGTCCGCCGTCAGCGTCTCCACCTCGTGCATTATCCGCCTCAAGTTTTCGTCCTTAGCTGGAATTGTGAACGAGTTTTTGAGCAACTTAGTCACCCTACTTTTTATGAGAATTGTAAACTAACTCAGCTTTCTGGGCTCGAAAGAATATAAAAGCTGTGATTGCAGCACCAATCACTTTGTCAAAGAAGACCAATTCAATCATCATTTTCGTTAAACTAGAACGACTTTATGTCTTCAGAAAACAGGAATACTGAAGGCATTTCCAGAACATTGGAACTACTAAATTGACTTTACTAGCATCGAGCTCAGGAGTACACACAAGTGTTACATTGCGCTACTTCGCTACCACTCAAGTCGATTATATTGAAACTGTATCAAAGTTGTAGCTCCAAGACAAAGGCGTGCAGCACAAAACTAAAAGTTGGTCAACAGATTTGATCGAAACTTGGAACTATTGGGGCAAGTCCAAAACTAACTTATAGTTCCGAACTAATAACCAAAGAGATTACTCTTCTAACGGCAACTAAATTGCCTCGACCACGGCAACTTCGAGAAAATGAGAAAGAAACTGTAGAACTTACCTTTAACTATTTCGAGATCGGCCAGCGATATCCTCATTAAAAGTTTGTACTTATTTCCTTCCATCTGACTCGCTATATTACTTTGGTATGTTCTGGAAAAATACCCTTTCATAAGAACAAAGTAAAACATGGAAAGTTTACTTCAAGAAAGTTCCATTGAGCGTATGAAAGTTAAAGAACTTGAAGTTATATTAGAAAATTCCAAACATCGTGGTAATTAAAATATTGTAAAATTCACATTACAAACATAATATCTTAAGCTACTTACGGAATGGGTTTCTTAATAGTACCGGTCCTTCTTTTGACACTCGTTATCAATAGAGTGTCGTTGAAGAGGAACAGCACTCTATCCTTGATGGTCCCTTGCGCCGACGGCATGGTGACCATCACGTGCCTCAGGAACATCCTCTCCGCCGTCGCCAGGTTCGACAGGCCCTCGATCATCTGCTCCAGCTCCCTCAGGGTCTGCTGCTGCTGTTCCAACTCAAGGCTCTCCCTTTCAGTGCAGTTTATCAGTTCTAACAGCTCGTGGATTTCTTTTTGTGCTTCTAGTAGTAGTTTGTGATCGGGGTGCGTTTGGTCTGAAACAATAATCATCACAAATAGTTCCATGTCTGAGTCCACCATAGTCCAGTGTACTCGCGACGGCTCTAACCGTCAGAAATGCACATCGCCAGGTGAGCTACCCTCAGAGATGACATGGAACACCCCACCGTGTACCTCATCAGCGCAACCACGACCACTCTGATAAGATTGCCCGACTAAGAACAAGTTCCATATCATGGCTACTACATCAAAACAATAATAAAAGTGAACGAATGGTCTAAGTCTGGAAGTTACCTGTGTGCTTGATTAGCCTCTGTATCAGCAGCTTGTAGCTGGGGAACTTCTGCACGGGCTTGATGAGCAGGTTGTCGAGCGACAGCTTGCCCTTGTGGTCGCGCGCCATGGCGTCGAGGAACCGCGCGAACGCCGGCCGCGACGCCGCCGCCGCCTTGATCGTCTCGCGCGCGCGCCGCTGGTTGTTGATGAACGACATGTATGTGTCCATCACGGTGGGTTTCGTGAACTGGAATTGTGGGAAACAAGAGAAAACGGTCAAGATTGATGACATACACTCGTATTCACAAACATTACTATGAGGTCTCAGAGTACGTCAAGCATCGTTTATGAATACAGGTTTCATGGTTACTAAGTAGGTATTCAAAAGAAATAAGAATATAAGAATAATAAATAACCTACAAATAATGAAAGTGCTTTTTAAAAGCCTATTTGCAAAAATAAATGAGTTTTATGAGTTTTTTTTAATGCAGTAAACATAATATGAGAATTATAATGAATATTGAGAAAAGCACATTTAATATAACCAAGTCGAAAAAAATATATTTACAAAATATTTGATGATTCAAAACAAATAAGACTAGCGCCCGTATTTACAAACGATGCTTCCTTGAGTGAAGCAGCAAATCGAACGCACATCGTTGAATAGAGCTCTGTGATTTGTTCGTGTGTCACCCTGTGCATCCACGCGCACTGTAGGACCTCATAGTAATGTTTGTGACTACGGGCGTAAAGGTTCAAAAGAAAATCTCGTGACCAATGCAGTTTCTCTGTCAATGAGACTCACCACATCCAAGAAGACATCCCCGACTTTCTGCTGCAAGTCCCACTGCTCGAGGCGGCGGCGCAGCTGCTCCAGGAACACCTGGTGCACGTTGAAGATGGTGGGGATCTGGTTGAAGATCTCGTCAACCACGAACGAATCCAGGAGCCCGGCATTCTCAGGGCTCTTGAGGGGCTGGAGGTATTTCTGCAAAGAAGTGATGATTGATGTCAAATTGGTTTAGTCTTCATTTTTTAAAAGATTATTTGTAATATTTGTTCAAATTACTAATAGTCCCGTTAGCCCCTCGTACTAAGCTAAATATGCTTGTGTCACGACTGAGCTAACCACAATGAGGGTTTTCGCGTATGAAAGATCCGCTAGATGGCGGGACGTGGATGTGGGGTCTGACTGCTGCGTGATTGGTGGATTTTGACTTATCTGTCAATGTCGTGTCAAAAATCATGCAGCATTTGGACCTCGCGTCTACGTATTGCCATCTGGCGGATTTTTCATACGCGAAAACTCTCATAGTGGCAGCAGGACCGAACCCGCGTTCCCCGGATCACGAGTCGGCCAGTCCGACACCTTCACCGTTCGACTATCGTGGCTTCAATTTCGATCTCAGCCTTAGGATCTCAATCATTATTTCAGCCATAGAATGTCAACTGCTAATTCCCCAAGACTGTGTTGATAAAGTGTCTTTGTTTTTATAGATTCGTTTTCCATCAAAATTTTAATAACTCGATGGTAAATAACAAAATTAATTCACATTAATTTGTGTATGTCATGTTTGTTTCGTTTACCGTTATTGGAAAATGTGGATCACATTTTATTTAATGAAAATGAAGTTGTTTTTGCCAGACCGTTCGTGATGTTAAATAATCCTAAATTTAATATAACGAATACTTCGGATTCTGATGAAAACAAAGATATCCGCTTTATAATGACTCTCGTAAACGGATAATCCTCAACAAACCGTTGAAGTTTCTCGCCAAACAAATTTCTGAGTATACCTAATACCTTCTCATCTCCAGTGTATTATGATCATCTGGCTTAATAAGAACAAAATCTGCAGACAAAGAATAAGGCTGCCTTCCCCTTTGTTTTCCAAATAAATTGAAATCCTCTTAATACGTTTAATGCGCAGCGGCAGCCTGTATTAATAATTGAGGTTAATACCTTTGCCGAGGAAGCTGCAGGAGACTTCCGTTATTATATCTGTATGCCGGTAAAGTAGGTCGCGTGTTATCAAACTGTGTCTTCCTTGCTTACGGTCTTGGTGAAACTTTCGTTCTTTTTATGCGTAACAAGGCAGGTATTAGACCGCAATCGCACCTGGTGTTAAATGAGATTCGGTCTAGGATGGTACATAATCTGCCCATATGTGCCTATTCTCTCTCACCTTTATTTAAGCTCGGGAAATCTGTAGTCTGTAACTCTACGAGTATTTATTACATTACTTCCGTAACGTCTGAACTACTTCTGATTTCGATAAATTAAGTTCAATCAATTTATTCAGTTTAATTACTATTAAAGTCGCATCGCTTTATTTTACTCGAAACTAGTGTCCGACCGAATGTTCGGTTTCGGTTTCGTTTTCGGTTGAGTTTCGGTAAAAACACGAGTTTCGGTTTAGTTTCGTTTTCGGCGGCAAAGTTGCCGAAACTACGACCGAAACCGAATGTGCATTCGGAAGTTTCCGCGCTGTTATTGGCCATGTTCGGGGCGTTGAATGAGTGAATGAATCCGATCAGAGCCAATTTTATTTACTTATTTACAACAATTAGTTGTGGCGAAAGATAGGTCAATCCTTGTTGTTATAAAAGTATAGAATTAAGAGATTAAGAACAATACAAATAATTAACCTACATAGACTAAATATTTACAAATATTTACAAATAAAAAATATGTCCCAAATCGCTGTCCAAACAACGCGACATAGTGCCCAGAATGCTGAATAGCCAAAATGATTCGTTGGCCAAGAAATGCGCCAGCTCTTCTATCACCTGTACAGTCAATCAGCCGCTTGGCTAATTTAAACTTTAATGCCAAAATAAATTTGTACTTAAGGCGAACTTAATGCACTAAAGCATTCTCGACCAGTTTACCTTTGGGTTGAGCAGAAAAGAAATTTGTTTGGCGGTACTTCTAGTGCAAAGAGAGAAAAAAAAAACAAATATGCTACATAAATACATAAATAATATATAAAATATACAATAAATAAATACATACATAGAATAGATGATTGAGTTAAACTGAAATTACAATTCATGAAGATGAAATAATTTGAAGGAAGTGGTTATAGACAGATTTTTTAATAGAAAACTTATTAGACGCTTGCCTGGTCTCTTCAGGCAGAGAGTTCCAGAGCCTTATGGCCTGGAGACGGAAGGAGTCGGAAAGAAAACCAGTTCGGTGAAGAGGAGTGGAAAGAACGGACTTGTTAGAGGAGCGGAGCTGACGTGAGTGCGTAGAGCTGAGAAGGTTAAACTGAGACTCAAGATAATATGAAGGAGAGTTGGGATCATTTAGAATTGAAAAAAGGGTAGAGAGAATTCTGACTTTGGAGAGGCAGCCATTGAAGCTGAGAACGGTAAGCGGAGATATGGTCATATTTACGCAGACAAAAAAAAATGCTCATAAAACGATAACGATTTGATCGTTAATTTAAACGCAGATTTATCTAAAGCTAAGTGAACAGTGCAATAAATTATATTCACTAGGAAGTTCCGAGCCTAGAAGGCAAACTATTACTGGTTTGAAACTACACTTGTCTTACCATGAAAATCTATGTGATTCAAAGAGAAAACAATAAAGACTGACTGATTATAATAACGTTTTCTTTATTTTTCCCTCAAAATATGAGCCTTGTAAGGAAGTTTCGGTTTCGGTTTCGGTTTCGGCCGAAATAGACACCGTTGCCGAAATTCGTTTTCGGTTTCGGTTTCGGACGTAAAACTAGTTTCGGTCGGACACTACTCGAAACACATAATAATATCACAATAGTCTGGGTGTCCACGGAAGACCAGCGTCGTGGCATTATCTACTGAGATGCTACGACACCATGCTGAGTGGATACCTTTTCAGTATCATTGTAATTACCTTCTCATTAAATAGTGTTAAGTATTGTAAGTGTATTGTCGATGATACTGAATAAACATTTTTTCTTTCTTTCTTTCTTTCTTACAATCATCAATGAATAGACGCCAAAAGATTTGAAACAAATGTTTATTTAATTGCTCATTAACTCTTGTAGTCAAGAGTTCTATCGGCTATCGACAATTATTTAAGAATAGCTTGTTAAATTAGTAGGTAATTTATCTAATAAAATGTATAAACGCGAATAGATAAAATGTTTAGGATTAGGTGTGTATTTAATTAAGACCCATGTGTAGTTATGGGGCAAAACCAATCTAATTTCCGGTTACAAATAGGTAACAATGAAATTAACTCTATTGAATCAACACGAGTATAAGGAAAAGGAAATACATTTTGACGCTTCATACAAATTAATTCTTAAAAGGGTCCACCCCAATTCCGAGAGATAAATGAAAATATAGATCCGAATGGAATACTTAATAAGTTCCATTTACTTTGGGATGTAACGTCTCTGTATTGTGACGGGCGGCTGTTGGCGCGAGTGCCAAGTTGGAGTGAATCATAACTTGGAGTTCCGAGTGCCGTCTAAGTCGGTTTGGAGCGCTTGGGGAGCTCCCGGTGAGGTGGCCAAGTGTTTTTGTACTTTTACGGGACTTTAAACATAAGAAGTGAACACCAGATTTTAAAACTTATTAGGAAACACAAAGTACGTTAACAAAATAGCAAATCAATAGAATAACAGCTACAGCTTGTAGTTTTTAAGTACCCAATTTGGATTACAAGACTCATGCTAGCTGCCATATATGTGACCTTGACACACTTATTGTTATGATGCCCGATTTATTTTAAAGTACCTATAATAGTACCTAATTTATGCTATGTAGTATGGTATTAAAATTATAATTTACGGTCAGGTTTGGATTTTTAAAGAAGTTTCATCTAGCATAGATATTAAACCGTTTGTGTCTATTGCAAATAAAATAATAAAGTAAACGATACTAACTGGTAACGAAGAGAATTTTCTATTTTAGATAGCAGAAACAGCATCATCATTCACTTCGGAAACAGCGATCAACGTCACCCTACTCGTTGGCAAGTCTAAACTCTGACAGTTCGCAACCCTCTTCAAGCGAGCGTGTGCTTCAGTGGCCGATTGAGAGCGCAGATTCCTCACGAGATTGCTTGTCCTGCGGAAATTGCCGCATTCGCCGAATGTAGGCGAGCGCATCGCTGCAGACGGCATGCTTTGATTGCTTCGTAAAGATTGATTCGCCTTTCAAATTCAAATTGGTTGTTGTATAGGGGCCATTCATTTATTACGTAAGACGATTTAAGGGGAGACCATGACGTCCTTTTTTTTCTTACAAGGGGGTGGGAGGGAATCTTGATAGTTCTTACGTAAGGTCACAAAAATGCACAAAGTTAAAATTATAATTTGAAAGTGCCGAGTATCGCTCGAATGCGTTATAGGAAAATGATTTCCATTTCTTTGGCATTTGGCAACGGACCCGCTCCACCTGCACTGCGCCGTGTACGTACCTATTCATTTATTCCTATCCATTTCCATTTGTGTCGGCCTATTCTTATTTTTTCTAAGGGGGGAGGGGGTCAAAAATTTACGAAAATAGTCTTATGTAATAAATAAATTACCCCATACGAGTAATATGGAAGAGGCTGTTTTTGTGTTATAGAAATGTGATTTCTTGGGCGGTACTTTTTTACCCGTGAGAACCTCTAATTATAGGTTAATTTAAATTATAATTAGTCGTTCATTAAATTGATGCCAAGGTACCCGTTTGCTAATTTTACCTTTCCTAGAATAAATAAATCAATCACAAAAACTGTAACTTAACTTTTATCATACCTTAATTTAATATATTATTACAACGAAAACTAGTGAACGTTTACGGCTACTGTAATTACTTTTCAAGTAGATTTTCAATGCAATTGAGTTATCATCCCAAATGTTTGGAGCTCTCGAACTAAATCAAATAACCACGTCGCATCTCTCCCGTTCGACTTGGAAGAAGGACAAACAACGTTTCCATTATAATATTGGTATGAATAGTCAAAGACCTTGTCATCTGCCAGCAGCAGCTGACAAATAAGCCTTCGGATCTATCGGCGCTTGTTTATGCAAGCGGATAATTTATGGCCGTCCTTGGATATCGTCCGTGCGTGCGTCCTTGTACGTCCTGTGTCCTTGTAGGTCCTGTGTCCTTGAGGCACGGGGCACATGATCATGGGACGCCATGGACAGTTCTCGGGATTGACGGGCTAAGAAATAGGATTAACGTAATGTTATGTGTACGCAACGCTTACATGCAGGACGAAATATGCTCTGAAACTAATTAAAAACTGTATCTTATTCAAACTTAAACATCTATAATTTAACTAATAAAGGTGTATACTAGAAGTAAGAAGTAAAATCAAGTTCTATATTAAATTGATACTTGTCTATTACGAAAACTATTAGGTCCTACTCATATTTTATGGTGTTAATAGAATGTATAATAGGTATCATGTTTTAAAGAGCTTTGCAAAAGGTTTATAACATGCCATTTTTTCTTGTATGTAATCTACAAACACAATTAATATGCCCCAATCATGAAATTATCCGCAACAAGCACTTATTACTTAGAAAAATTATTAAAAATGACATCTTGTTTCAGGTGACTCGAGGAGGGAAGACGTGAACTGAATAAAGGTGAGTACAAATGACCGTTTTATATTTACCTTTACAGCTGAAGACGTCTCCCGTTTCATTTCGAGACAGTAAAAGCGTAATATTCCTGCTTAGCGGGAAAAATAACTTTTATCACTCTGAAAATGTTCGTGCAATAACCGCAAAACGTAACTTACGTTCAATTTTAAATAGGATTTACAGCGAATGAAACGCGGGAGCATTATTAAAAGCGCTCGCCGCGGCTCCACGCAACGAATTCGATTATGAAAAAAACCGTGAAAAATATTTTCCACAAATTCGGCATTCATTTGTTGTTTTCAGTTCAATTGTATTACATGACTTTTATTGTTTTATTTATGCTAGTTTTCGATTGAAGTACTTCTGAATGCATGTTGATATGAAACTTTACAGGCTTTTACGCTTTATTTGTTACTCGATTGTCTTGTCTACTCCAGTGCTATTATAGTGCGTGTCAATGACTCATTATTATGTCAGTTAGTTAAAGTTTATTGAAATAATATTGAACTTGTTTCCTATTAGGTACAACGTTTCAAAGTCATAAATGGATAGACCTAGAAATTAATGAATGATTTATTTTGTTAGAGATGTTTTTGCTCTTAAAATCTCAGTTCAAAGGTAAGGTAACGAAACAGGTTTACAAGGATAAGTAGGTATTTGCACAGTGACAGCCTTATCCCAATGAATAACTCGCTTAGCCCTCTCCTCCAACTTGCACACTTTGTCACTCGTCCGCCAGACCCATCGCATCGAGGCTCGGACGGCGTATTGTAGTAATTCTCGCAAAGCGATTAAGCGACCGTTTGCTGCGAAACTGTACGACACTACATCAGAGTATTCCTTTAGATTTCAGTGTTTGCAGCTGAATTATTTATTCCACATTACACTTGTCTGAAGACGAACTCTATTTCTATTGCGTTACATTTATGTTGTTGTTATTAAAATTTTGCTGTTATTTATACATTATTGTGCAAGATTGTGAAATCGTGATATTGCGTTACATGTGTATGTAATCAAAAGCACTTCGTAGAGGTAGAGCTTTTTCATTAAACAAAACATTTCAAGCACCTACTTCAAATTTTGCTATCTAATTTGACATTAATGTAATCTTTTATCATAAATATTCGAAGGACACAGTAAATTCCTTGTTTGCTTTAAAATAAGTTGGTAAACATTTAAGAACTACAAATCACCCACTTTGCCCAAGAACTAGCGAATATAAGGCACGAGGTCGCACGACTACCAGTTGCGGGAGTGGAACATTTTGAAAAATCTGTATCTGAAATCTTTGTATTGCGTGAATGTTTTTATTTGTTACCTTAACGAGTATGTCGAGCGCGTCCACGTACGACTTCTCCGTCTCGTACAGCTCCACCACCACGTGCGTTCGTGTGTCCTGCAACAACCAAACAAGAACTTAAGTATCATTATACCATAAAACAAAGTCTTCCACCGTGTCTGTCTATTCGCAATAAACTCAAGAGCTACTGAACGGATTTATTATGTGCTTTTCATCAATAGATAGAGTGATTCACGAAGAAGACTTATCTAAGGATGAAACTTGTCCAAGATATATCATAAAATAGTTTTTATTCAGGTTTTTGGAAGAGGTACGCTCGCGATCGTTAGTTTCTGTGATAGGCCAATAACCAAATTCACGTAAGCATAACCGTGGGCAAAAAATAGTATGATATAATTCATCAATATTATAAATAATAGAACACCAACAAGACTATCGTACACACGCAGTATTCCATTAATGTAATAAATACAACTCCAGTGCCCCACTAATCCCACGTCACCGTCATAAATTACTTGAAGGTGCGTCTCATTTTTAGGTACAGGTTCAATCAGTTCAGGGTGTTGAAATAATTCTAGCTCACGCGGTCTAAATGATGTGCACCGAAGTAACTTTTCATGAAATGCGCGAACCACATCATCTTCGATATAGTTATTATAATTCAGAATGTAGGAAAACGTATTATCTAAAGTATCCATTGTTAGATGATATACAATAAGCTTTAGAAATTTTAAAAACCTGCTACGAAACACTAAAATTTGCACCAAAAACAAAGGAATTTATATTATTGGGGGATTTATTAGTACGTGACCGGTTTAATAGCACCTATTAAACCAGTATACCTACTTACTTATTTTTTATAATAGGTACAATTCAATATTAAAAAGTCTCAACGCCAAATTCGACTTGCGAAAGAAGTAAATGGGAACGATGAAATTCTCTTAGCGCGCACAAGTGACAACGACGTCTGCCCTCACGTGTCTGCCCGTTCGGGTCGACGCGGTTAGCTATCTTATCCCCGCTCCCGCGCGAGACCACGCCCCGCAACTCACGCGCTGCAGCGCAGCGAGCGACCGATCTTCTTGAATCGATGTAATAATAATCTATAGGATTAACGCGTTTTAAAAATATTGGTTCGATGGATATGTTTAACCTATTATTACTCAACAATCACATTTGTAATATTAAACTTTATCAAATGCACAATGTATTTAAGGTACATTACTGGATAAGGATTAATGGCGTATTGCTTGAATAAGCTAATATTTCTCGTAAAAAGTACCTACATTATAAAGATTTTATATCATCGCGGATTTTAAAAGGTGTACAATACTGTAGTATATTTTTTGATCTATCTTATAAGGTTCAGCCATCGTTTTCAGTGTAAGCACAATAACTTAACCAAAATTACAGTTAAATCAACCTATCTCAAAAACTATAAGAGATACTTTGATCAAACCAAAAATCGTTGAAAGAGTTAATTAGCATGCATCACCTCTATTTTTTTTAGAATTTTATACCCCGTAGTTATAAAAATAGAGGGGGGGGGACATACTTTTTACGACTTTGAGAGCTGATATCTCAAAAACCGTTCACTTTAAGAAAAATGTTTTTTAGAAAACTTTATATCATTTTAAAAGACCTTTCCATTGATACCCCACACGGGTATGTACATCGAAAAAAAAATTTTCATCCCTCAGTTACATGTATGGGGGGCCCCACCCCCAATTCTTTTTTTTACTATTTAGTGTCATAATTTTGTAGCGGTTCATACAACACATATTCCCATCAAATTTCATCACTGTAGTACTTATAGTTTCCGAGTAAATCGGCTGTGACAGACGGACAGACGGACAGACGGACAGACGGACATGACGAAACTATAAGGGTTCCGTTTTTGCCATTTTGGCTACGGAACCCTAAAAAGGTCTCCTTTTCAACGTCTACGTTTTTCAATCGACCTCTGAAGAGCTTAAGTTATCAAAATTAGAATTGCCCTTATACCTTCACCCACGGCTTCCTCTACCCACTCTATGAAAGCTTATAAGTAGCTCATCGAATCATTCATAAATAATAAAATATTAGAAAACAGGGAGTCATTTGAAATCATAACATTTTGCAGCAGCCATTAAGTAAACGAGTTTCGGGGTGGTAGCCCGGAGATAACTACCGACGTAATGTTTCGCGTTTCGCTCAGTGGCGCAGAATATAGACAATTTGAATAGTATACAACTGCAAATACAAGCATTGTAGTAGGTATGCTTAGGCATTTCTTGTATAGAAGTGAGCTTCATCTGATAGATAAGTAACAGATCCACTAAGAATGAAAACGTGAATATCTTAAGACAACTAAGAATAGTTATAAAATTATCAAGGTATTATAATAAATAAATAGCGTTCTAATCATAAACATGAGATATTATAAGACTCCACTTGAGTGCCGATATTAAAACCACCTAAAACCTTATTTACTTGTGATTAATGCATGAACACGCTCGAATTTTATGGATTTCTGGATCAAAGACTCTACATTATATACTTGTACTAACAGAATGTAGATATTTTATGTATTTCACTTTAATTAATATTCAGCTTACTTATACAGTTAAAACAAAGTCTAAATACCTCAATCTAATTGTGTCGTTAGTTAAATCAAAGTTGTTTCATAGGTTTTTCAAAAATGCATATTATACCTATCATTTAGAAACGTTTTAGTCGGGCAATATAAAGTTGTAGCTCACCCCTTTTAAACTACTCTATGGAAGTTCAGAGTTCCACCGCTGCACCGAGATGAGCAGTCACATAACTTGGGAGTTTGCGTTTACGTGTAAAGTGTTGTTGGGACTCGCTCGACAGGAAGGGAGCAACTTTAACTCGATCGCCGATTCCGGGAAGCGGGAAACTTAATAATAAGGAAACGCTCTGGCCTGGCCGTGAGGCGAAGGACTAAATGTTGTGTTGGGAGTTACGTATAGGCTGCAAAATATATACGTAGCTCTATGGAAAGTATTTTCTACTGATAAAACTTATTTTTGAATCAAAATCCGTGAAAAACGCTAGTTGTAGTTGTAGTATGTGCTATGCAATAAAGTTACATACTCTCATACTCACTAACAATAACATTAAACATTTGTGTTGTAACTTTGTTGAACATTAAACTTTAGTAGACGATTCTTTTGATCGATGGCAATAATTTTTGAAAAGTTGTTGAAAAGAGTTGTTAATATAATTTACAGTGAAGTGGATTTTATTAAGCTTTTATGGAGTCTGTGTCAGACTATTAAAACACCAAATATTAAGATCTATTTACCATACCTACACTGTACATACCTCGTTAATTACAACGTAATACAATAACAGCGTATCCCTATTTCTATCGAGTGATGTGCCAGCCCCAATAATTGGATTCCATCCGCGCGACAGGTTTAATAACCTAATTAGTCAGCCGTGGACGCCACTAATTCGCGGCGCAGCGGGGTTTACACCAACCGACGTGATTGGGTACGACACGACGAAAGGTGCATGAGTATGAGGAAAATTTAAATACTATCAACTTTTCGGAAGTAGTTTGTACATTATTATGACGTAATAAATGATTACCATGAACTGAAAATACGATTATTCCATAGTCTGTGGCATAGACGTAAAACTGAAATTCGTAGAATGTATAAAATTTAGCGAATTGTCGAGAAGAAAACAACCCTTATTCTGAGGTATAAATAATGTATTGCGAAGCGAATTTTTATATAAAACTTTCCTGAAATAGTTTTTATCAGAAAAATAATAATACAACTGCGACAATCCACAAACAACGATGTAGCACCCACGTCTTACACTTATAAACGGTATAAAGCAGAAAAAAAGAGTGAGATATTGCAATATCTGTTTAGCTCAAACAAATTACAAAAAGACAAACTCCTATAAAATAAAATTTTCATATTAAGTTTAGTTAAGCCGTGTAAACGCCGCCGCCGCTGCATCGATCGAGCGTGATAACGCGCCCTGACCGGTGACCGCTGACCGCGCGTTACGCTGCCGACGATTAACAAACCTCTAACCAAACTGCTAAATTGAAATGGAAATAATAATCGAAAAACCACAATCTGAAAACACGTGACACAGCCAGAGTATTCCTGGAATATGTTGTTTTCAAAATAAGGAAAGCCACCGTAATAATATTTTGTTTTTATGATCTTCCCAAAATTGTTTATCGTTATTACCTTGATAGATACAGCGATAATAGTCACTGAGTGAGTAGAATAACCACGTGTAAGAATGCACTTTCATGAGTAACAATCGTTACCAATTACCAAAAAGAGACTAGCACTGCTGGCTACTACGAAATTGTATTGTTACTAGGTGTACACTCTTTCGTAGTAAAATCTCTTTTAATGTTTATTTTAATTTACAATATGGCCGTACAAACACACGTACGTACACCGGCCTAAAAACAGCAATAAATATCATTGTAAACATGATATTATTATTTTAAAAATGTATCAAAACGACTGCGTAGATACATCGCGTCTCGCAATACTTCTCGCGCGGGCGC